CCCTAAACCAGGCTTGGGGACCCAGTACGACTGTGGGAGGCGATTCTGTCGGACGGACTGCTCGGGAAACTCTTCGACTTGCATGGCGCGCCTTATCCTAATATCACGGTTTAGGGTTTAGGGTTTAGGGTTTAGGGTTTAGGGAGGGGGTTTGGGCTGAAGGTGTTGTTTAGGCTTTTCTTCGCTTCTTGGTTGCTTCCAGGGGCAAATCTAGGGCTCCAGAGGCTTTTGGAGAGGGCATGCAAGAGGATCCTTTTGATGGTCGTTTCTTTCTTGGACTTCTGGGGTTAAGGTTTAGGGTTTAGGGTTTAGGGTTTAGGGTTTAGTAGGGTTTCTGGTGCTATCGCCTTGACAACTGCCAGGTGCATTGATGCTCTGTGCTCATCCTGCATCAAGGCCCTCAACTTCCGCTCAAAGGCCGTGAAGGTTGGACCCAGCTTCACCCAGCTTTTCATGGCCGCAGAGGGCGACTTCGAGGGCAAAGAGGAGGAAGGCCCTGTGATCCTGCTTGCGCAAGCGGCCGGGACTTGCGAAAGCGGCGGTGATGTTGTGGAGAGTTGCGGCACCCCCTGCTATGGCCATGCGGACCCATCGGGCTGCTATGCTCGCTGCTCCATCAATGCCTGTTTCGGCACCTGCACGGGTTGCGTGCAGAAGAATTGCTTCGAGTCTTGCAGGCGATCCATGGGAAGCTATGAGTGTGCCTGGGCTTTGGAGTACCATACTTCAATACTTTTTTGGGGACCTGTTCTTTAAAGGAACCATTCTGAAATAAAAGTCTATATTTTTTCTCCCTGGTTGCTTCAAAGCTCAGGTGCGACTTGCATCCATGGCCTCTGCAATCGCTGCACGTCGAGTTACAGCTCGCTGAAGCAAAGCCCGGTGCAAAGCCAAACAGCACCCATTCTCCCGTGAGGCGCTTGAGTGTTTCTCGGCAAAATTCGTGGCCATAAACACGAGGATCCTTCCTCTATCCGATTCAAGGGCCGTGACCTCATGCGGTTCTTAAAGCCGTAATTGTCGGACCCTAAACCCTAAACCCTAAACATTGTCGGATCCTTGTGATTAGGCGCCCTGCCTCTGCATGTTTATTGAGTATGTGACCGGCCGTCGATCCGATGACGCGAGCTTGGCTAGCCCAGTCATACAGGGACGCATTCCGCCATGAGTCACGACTGTTTCAAGAACTGAAGATGGCCCCACCTAAAGACTCCAATATTCCTTAATTAAGGAATATACCTTAAATCGTATTAGGGATCCTACTATAATTTAAGGTATATTCCTTAATTAAGGGATATTGGAGTCTCTGGGCAAATTCCGAAACCCGAAAGACAAACCGAATTGAACGACTGTTCATATGTACAGGTGCGGAGCAGACTTGCTTTGGAAGGCTTTCCCTCGGCACTAGCACAGTTTGCCTATCGAAGCCAGGGCTGATTTTGTGCATCATTTGCGATTTGCAGCTCGCTTTTCCGGATGACCCCCTGCCGCCTGCCTTCACAGGCCGCTGTAAAGATGCGATGGGAGGACTTCCCCCCATCAAACTAAGAAGGCGTCCCGGCCGCGGGACATCTGTTTCAAAAACTGCGAGTGCTTGAATTGTGGAAAAGGAAGGCCCGCTGTGCCTAAAACCCTTGGCCCCCTTTAGCCCTAGGCGTGGATTCCTCTTGGTTCGGAAATCCTTGTGTTGAGGACACCCTTAAAAAGTAATCCCTCAACACTGAACCATGAACTCTCGCAGCCTACATCCAGGGCTTGTTAGAGCTGACGAGGTCGCATCAGTTCCTTCTTCTTCGTGGATTTTCTGCCATTGGGTTTAAGAGGATTTGATTTTCGCGTTTAGAGGAATGTGCTGGGTTTGAGGTTGATGAATTCGGGGTGTGGGGTGCAAGGCTCTGTGTTGGGATGCAGGGTTTCTGGCTGTCCCTTTTCCCTAAACCATAAACCCTAAACCCTAAACCCTAAACCCTTTTTTAAGCTTCGTGTGGAACTGGTCAGCTTTGATGGGCCCTGTCCCTCCAGGATCGCCCTAGCCACTTCCCTTTCCACTGCGGACAGGTGGGCGTCCATCTCCATACATCTACTGCAATGGAAGCTCCTTGTGCTGAATCAGAGGGCCAAAAACCCTAAACCCTAAACCCTAAACCCTAAACCCAAAACCCTAAACCCTAAACCCTAAGATCCTTCGTCCAAAAAGGGCCCCAGAGATCCTTAGTCCAAGAAGGGCCCCTAACCTCTCTGACGGTATGAAGGACAGAAGCCGCCAAAGCTGAAAGCCCTAAACCCTCTCTATCCTAAGCCTGAAGGCTGTACAACCTGAAGCCGAAAGCCTAAGCCGGACCCCCGAAACTCTGAGCCCGAAGCCGGGAACTCAAAAGCCTACACCCCAAACATCTCCAAACCCTGGAAGAGTCAAAAGCCATCGACACTTCTGAGTCAAAGCTCTCTCCGTAGCAAGTGCCTCCGGTTTTCAATCGAGCTTCGATGTTTCGGGCATCCACAAGCCTCCTACACCCTGAACCCTACCTAAACCCTAAACCCTACACCCCTGAACCCTAGACCCCTGAACCCTAAACCCCTAAAGTTTAAACGCTAAACTATAAACCCCTAAACTCTAAACCCCTAAACTCTAAACCCCTAAACCCTAAACCCTAAACTCTGAAACCCTGGGGTTTGGGGCGGTAGGAGTTTCTGACAAAATAGAGGGGCAGGTACTGTGATATTCTCCTTCCTATGAATGCTTCAGCGTCGCATTGTGGTTCCTAAATGGGTTGCTCTTTGAGGGTGGGTCAAGGGATTCAGGGTCTCGGGGTTTCGGGTTTTGAGATGCCCTCGCCCTCAAGGCGTACTACAGGGGCCTTAATAAATAGAATGGGATTCTGGGGCGTATTATACTAAAATTACAATAAGGAGCCCCCAAATTAGCATAGGTAATTATTGAGGCCCCTATATTACTTGGCCCTACACCCAAAGCTCTTTGTGCACATGGCTCTTCATCCCATGCCTGTAAATCCCTAGATCTCAACTTTAAAGGCTAGCCAGAATCTTACCCTAATTCGTAGTACCTGCAGTTCACGAGAGCACGATCTGATCTGGCGAAGCCCGAGACCCCAAATCCAAGCCATCGCTAAGCACCCATTATTTGGGACCACATGCCCCTATTTCAAAGGAGGGTCCATCTTAGTTCCCAGAGACTCCAATATCCCTTAATTAAGGAATATACCGTAAGTCACAGTAGGATCCCTAATATGATTTAAGGTATACTCCTTAATTAAGGGATATTGGAGTCTCTTAGTTTCTTGATTCTAAACCCTAAACCCTAAACCCTAAACCCTAAACCCTAAACCCTAAACCCTAAACCCTAAACCCTAAATGGCCCGGGAGGTTCAACCCGAAGTCCGAGAAACCCGACCCCGAAACCCCTGAAGCCCTCTTAGACTCTAAACCCGACGCCCGAAACGCGCTAAATCCTAAACTCTGAAGGCTTGAAGCCCCAAAACCGAAAGCCCTAAACTCCT